GGGCCTGCCTCGGTGTGGGTGTGCTGGGTGAAGCCACCTGCTCCCCGCCCCAGAGGCTCAGCTTGTGCCTCCTCCCCCCCACCCCCCACCCCGGGCCCCCGGGAGCCAAAGAAGTCACACGGCCCTGGGCAAGGGCAGAATATGAGGAAGCAGAATCCACAAAAAAAGGGGGAAATGGGTAGGTCAGCAGAGTCAGCTAAAAAGGCCGACATGCAGGGGGTGCCCCAGATAGAATATTCAGGAGTGCAGGAGAAGGGCTGAGGAGACTGTCATGCTCCTGGGTCCTGGCCTGCAAGTCCTCCTAGCCAGCCCCTCCCAGGAGGCAAAGGTTCTGGTCATTGCTGCCAAAGACATCCCAGGAGAGAGCAGGCATCAAGCCAAAGCCACTGCAACAGAAGCCCCAGAGAGCAGGAAGCAGGCCTCAGGGAGGCTGTGGCTGCTGGGGGCTAGACGCCGGTCACCCCACGCTAGAGAGCTTCCACATGAACCTCCAGATGGAGGGAGCTCCCCGTGTGCCCCAGGTGGGTCTGTACGTCTGCCTGGCGTGTCCTGCCCCTCATCAACCTGGCGGGGCCCTACAGATCCTCTGCACACCGGCCCCTCCATCCCCTCCTCTCCCAACCACCCACACAGAGGCAGGCCTCCTCCTCCTCCCCCTCTCCCCTGAACACAGAGCACATGGCGTGCCCACGTGTGGCCACAGGATGCCTGTGAAGGAGAACAAAGGAGCGGCAAGGCTTCCGGAGCACCTAAGGAGACACACACAAGATGCCACATTCCCCAAAGCAAAAACAAAAGGGTTTTCGTGTTGCTTTCTGGTGCAAAAGATAGCTTGAGAGATGTAAATCCCAGAGGTCCAGCAGGCCACATGCCCACTCCTCACAAAGGTCCAGAGTGACATAATTCAGGACCTCCGTCCCCCCCCCCCCGCCCCATTCCCGAGCCTGATCTTACGAGGACCCCCAGCACCAAAGCTCTGGCCAAGGCCCTGCCCACTCAGGGGCCAGCGCACCAAACCCTCTGTCTCCCTCTGCTGCTCAGTCCCTGCAGGTCCACCCTGGGCCAGCCTCCTCTCGTGTGGTCAGAGGCACTGGCCTCCACTCCCCCTGAAGCCCATTCTCTAGACACTCTGCCAGGGACCATCTTAAAATGTGACTTGGATCCTGGCTCTTCCGGCCCCCTGAAATGGCTGCTCGCCACTTCCCTTCTCCTCCACCCTCCCTCCACACAGTAAAACTGAGCAATTCTCAGAACAAGCCATCACCTCTCCCAGGCTCTTCCCTGCCTGGATGCCTCACACCTTCTCTATCTGACTGAGGCCTGGCCTGGCCTCCAGGCAGGCCCCAGCCCTTGGAACACGCATCTGCCAGTCGAGGGCCCAGGGCCCTGCTGGCCCTCCCAGCCCACACACGCCCTGCTTGCCACTCCTCTGCCCAGCCTTCCACCCCGAATAGGAGCTGCTCTCATTCACAAGGCTGGCCAGACCAGCGCCATTCCTCTCAGGCACTACCAGTTCCAAGGACACAAGTCCTAGAGAGGGTTTTCTTCACACTCCAGAGCAGCTGCGGGCCATCAGCCCTAGGGGTACATGGGCCAAAGCAGGGTCAATCCACACAGACAGGAGAGGGAAACGGGCATGGGGCCGGCACTCTGGCTTGACCTGGGTGGCCCTTCCTTGGGCCTGACTCATGACAAGGAAACCGCATCGAGGAGGAGCAGGGAGGGTTACCGCAGTCCTGGGTGCCGCCTTCCTTCTAGCGGGCGGGGAGTGGGCACTCCTGCTAAGCCAACTTGGCTTCCAGGGTTCCAGGGGCCCCGGTTCCCCCAGCTCAGTCCCTACTCCCGGCAGGCTGGCTTTATGACTTCACATGCTGAAGTCACGCGGGGACAATGCTGAGCGTTCCACCCCTCCAAGTCCAGGCCCAGCCCAGCCAGACGGCTCCCCACAGTGTAAATGAGGACAATGCCCGCTGGCCCACGGGGGGAGGGGATGTAGAGCGCAGCGCCGCCAGCCGCTCCTGGCACCATGGACGATGCCGCGGTCCTAAGGAAGAAGGGTTACATCGTGGGCATCAATCTTGGCAAGGGGTCGTATGCCAAAGTCAAATCTGCCTACTCTGAGCGCCTCAAGTTCAACGTGGCAGTCAAGATCATCGACCGCAAGAAGACGCCAACTGACTTTGTGGAGAGATTCCTTCCTCGGGAGATGGACATCCTGGCAACCGTCAACCACCGCTCCATCATCAAGACCTACGAGATCTTTGAGACCTCTGATGGGCGCATCTATATCGTCATGGAGCTCGGGGTCCAGGGTGACCTCCTTGAGTTCATCAAGTGTCGGGGAGCCCTGCACGAGGACGTGGCTCGTAAGATGTTCCGCCAGCTCTCCTCAGCCGTCAAGTACTGCCACGACCTGGATGTCGTCCACCGAGATCTCAAGTGTGAGAACCTTCTCCTCGACAAGGACTTCAACATCAAGCTGTCTGACTTCGGCTTCTCCAAGCGCTGCCTGCGGGACGGCAGCGGCCGCATCATCCTCAGCAAGACCTTCTGCGGGTCGGCGGCGTACGCGGCCCCCGAGGTGCTGCAGGGCATCCCCTACCAGCCCAAGGTGTACGACATCTGGAGCCTGGGTGTGATCCTCTACATCATGGTCTGTGGCTCCATGCCCTACGACGACTCCGACATCAAGAAGATGCTGCGCATCCAGAAGGAGCACCGCGTGGACTTCCCCCGCTCCAAGAACCTGACTGGCGAGTGCAAGGACCTCATCTACCGCATCCTGCAGCCGGACGTCAACCGGCGGCTGCACATCGACGAGATCCTCAGCCACTCCTGGCTGCAGCCACCTAAGCCCAAAGCCATGTCTTCGGCCTCCTTCAAGAGGGAGGGTGAGGGCAAGTACCGGGCCGAATGCAAACTGGACACCCGGCCGGGCTCACGGCCTGAGCACCGGCCCGAGCACCGGCCGGACCATAAGCTGGGGGCCAAAACCCAGCACCGGCTGCTGGTGGTGCCTGAGAACGAGGACAGGATGGAGGACAGGCTGGCCGAGTCCTCCAAGGCAAAAGATCATCATGGAACCGGAGCTGAGGTGGGGAAAGCGAGCACCTAGCGGTGCGGTGCGGAGGGCCCGGGGGGCGTGGTGCGTGGTGCACGCCCACATAAACTAAATAGGCAGTAGGAGCTGAAGAAGGCACAGGTGCAAGGAACAAGTAAAATCCGTCAATTAAACCACTATTTTGATTACGTTCTATTAGCTTTCTTCCACTTAGTAGCAAAGACATTAATTACTGACCACCAAATAAACCACAAAGTGTGTACAAGCATTAAGAGTGCCCCGTGAGGAGTTTTTCTCTAGGACTCAGCCAACCACCCCTCCTGCGGCGTGGGGGTCTCCAGCACAGGGGTGCAGGGCCTGGTGCTTGGGCACAGGCAGACTCATGGCGAGGCCCTGTGGGCAAGAAGACCTAAGCCGCAGCCCACAGCCAGGCCCCCACCATCTCCCTCTGAGCCACCCTGGACCCAGCACCTCCAGGGTTGGCCGGCTGCATGTGTCTGTCTGGCTCAGGCCCAGCACAGCCCACCCTGACCTCGACACCATCCCACTCCCTCAGACTGACCCTTTCTCCATATATTCCGCTCCCTTCATTCCTGTGGTTGAGTCAGTGACCTTGGCCCCTTGAGTGCCCTTTCATTTGCCAGAACAGTCCCGGCCCAGACATCTCAGCCACACCCTCCTTACCCCTGCCCATCCACCCCATACACCAGCCAGTGTTCAGGGGCCGCCAGTGCTTGGCCCTAAGTGGCCTTCCCTAGACAGCGTCTCCCTCTGCATCTCCCACCCACTCAGACCTGTCTGCCTCCATGCCCCTGTGGTCCACCCCTCCCCTTCCCTATGGGGTAAAAGCACCAATGGCCATACTTTCCTGACCCCCTGGGCGGTCCTGGTGCAGTCCCAGCCCCCTTGGTGAGTTACAGGGCTTGGCCCCCTGGAAACTGGCAGGAACTGACAGTCGAGTGCAGACTAGTGGGTGCCTAGGCAGGCGACTGGCCCCAGCAAACCTCCAGGGAACACACCACTTGCGAAGGCAGCAAGGACCCATGCAGGACAACCCAAGGCCATGGCCCAGGCAGGGCTGGGTATGCTCAAAACAAGAAAGACTCTGGTCCGAGCAGATTCCAGGCTGTCTCCTTGAGCTGTGTAAGCCCCTTAGGGAGCATGACCTGACCCCACTTAAGACCTGAAGAGACCCATCTGGGAGCCAGCTTGGACTTCCCACCTCCAGGTGAAGCAGCTGGCTCAGGCCTCCTGGGGCACCAAAGCCCTCAAGGTCACAGGCAAGTGTGGCCTGTGGCCTGTGGTGCACATGGCACTCTCGGGTCTGCGTGGAGCCTGGCCTCATTGCTCTTTGACAGTATGGCCTGGGTTACTGTTACCCACAACTCCTGTTCGTGACTCAACAGCGTATGAAGGTGGTGCCTGGAGCACTAGGACAGGGAAGAGCAGGAAGAGAAGACAGTCCTGACCCCCTGAGCTGGAGACCAAGTGCTTGGAGAAGGTGACATTGAGGCCACTTTCAAAGTGACCACATGGGCTGACACGTAGGACCCACGCAACTCTGTCACCAGCAAACCACGCAGGCCAGGCCCAGCTGAGGCTGCGTACCTGGACCCAGAGCCCCAGGGGAACCTGAGGGGCCCAACTTTCAAGGACTCTCTCCTTCCCTCAGGGGGACAGAACCTGGGGAGCATGGCCCAACGAGCTGTGAGCTCAGTGTGGAAGGCAGGTTCCAAGCTCTAGAGGGGCCACAGAAAGCAATGCAAGGAGTGGCGGGAAAGGCCAGAGACCCTGAACTTCCAAGTTCACCTCACCCAGAAGCTTCCTCCCAGGGAGGCCTGCAGTCCTGAGACTACGATGTGGTACAGGGAGTCTCCAGCATAGGGGGAAGGGTGGCCTAAGGGCCACGCAGAGTGGGCCAGAGAGATAGGTCCTGCCAGACTGTGCTAGGTGCTCTTTAATGACGGCTAGACAGAAAGAGGCAGGGGTCTGATAGAAAACAGTTATCTGCCAGACCCTGGGATACATCCCAAGGGCCGTGGGGCAAGTCTCATGCCAGCCTGCCTGAGGCACGGCATCTTTTCAGTGGCTCCTGGGACAGTCAGTCACCATTTCTGGCCCGGGCCCGGGTCCCCAGAAGGCCGGAGTCCTCTGCTGAGCGGGCAGCTGCCCCGCAGGCTCCACGAAGCTCCCACAGGCCCGACCCGGGCCGGGCTCTAGAAGAAGTCTGAGGCCTTGCGCCGGGCAGGGAGCTGCAGCAGGTTGTCCGTGATGGAGGCTGGGTCCTGGCTGAGGGGGGTGCGTGCCGCAGAGCCAGGAGCCGGTGTGCTCGTGGGGGTCTGAGGCCCACCAGCTGGGGTCTTGAGGTGGGTCGAGCGTGCTGGAGACGGGGTATAGCTGGCCCGCAGGGCCCGGTCTGTGTACTTGCTGGCTGTCCTGCTTACAAGGCGCTGCAGGGCTGGGGACATGGCTGGGCTCAGGCCTTTGGGGGTGAGGCTGGGGTGGAAAGGGAGGGGGAGAGAGGCACCATTAGGCCCCACCAGGCACTGCCAGCAGCAGGGTTTCCCATGGCCCCACAAACACTCGTGGGAGATGCACGGTCATTATGAGCTGAGGACACCCAATGGCCTGGCACATAGCTGTGTAGCCAAACTTAAGGTCAAGTTGTGGTGCTGCCCTTGGAGGTGGGACTGCAATGGACCCCAGCTCTCTCCAAGGAGAACGATCCACCTGTTTCCACAGGGCTGACAGGAGCTCACAGCGGGATAAGGAGCCCAAAGGTGCCTCTTGGGGATGTGCTGAGGCGGCAGCTGAAGAAGGAAAAGACGAAGAGGGGCCCTGCATCCTGGCTCATACAGGCCGTGCCTGTACCAGCGGAGCTGCCACAGGACCCACCCCAGAGCCCCCAGGCCTGCCTGCACACCGTGCATCTACACGGAAGGGGCCGTGGCCAAGTGGGAATAGGGAGAGACCCCTCCACCCCGCCCACCCCATGCAGATCAGGCACCCCTCACCTGGCCAAGTTCTCCGTCACTCTCCTCAAGGCTTCCTGCTTCTTGGCCCGGTTCTTGGCGGCGGCCTCGTTGGCCATCTTCAGCCCCAGCCGTTCCCTGCGGCCGGGCTCCAGGATCTATAAGGCAGCAAGTGTGTGGCTGGCCTGACATCAAGCCAGCCACCCCTTGCTGCTGGGGCACCTGCCTCTTTCCCATGGTGCCCTGTGATCCTCACAACTCACTGCTGTCTTCCTAAAAGCCACCGAAAGCTGCCGACCAGCTCGCCTGAACTGCCCACCCGCCAAAGGCCCAGGCCTCCCACCTGTCGTCACGGTTCCCTGCAAGCCAGCGGTGCAGACTTAGGAACCTCCGATGGTCTTTTAGGAAAGAAGGGGGTCTTGTTTGAATCTGCTTCCCTCTGATTACTGGATTAAACCCTTTGCTGACTTTAACCCCCACTGACCTTCTGTATTTCTTCCCAGAACTTCCCAAAATTGGTCTTGTCCTATTTTTCTATTTGAGTGCTTGTTTGTTTCCTTACAGTTTTCCCCCATCAGTTCTGTTAAGCTCTGCCATACAAACGCCTTCTGTTACTCGCTTTCACATTTAGTTACGATGGGGTTTTTTGGCTGTACTTAAGTCTACCACTATGTATAGTATTATCCGCCCACCACCCCCTCCCCACTTCCTTCGTGACCCTCCCTCTTTGGTTTACTGCCTCCTACCTTCACACCAGATTAAGCATTGACTATTCTCCTCTCATTGTTCACATGTATTGTTTTCTGCACTTAACTCTCCCACTTGGGGAACTCGTTCTGCGATACATATCAGGCACTTTGTGTCTGATTACAGTCTACTGCTCAGCACGATTTGAACTGTCGTCGCTCACATACCCTGAATTTGGATTTGGATGGACGTTTGTTCGGAAGCTGTTTCCTGCTGCCCAGTAGGCACCGGGACCAGGGCAGCCTCCTGACAGCCCCGTGCCTCTGGTGCACCAGCCTCTCTCTAGTTTTTCTTGGTCATTCTCGTGTCCAAGACAAATGTAAGAACCAACGTGCCAAAATGATCTGCACATGCTCTGTGTGGACATGCGTTCCCTCTCGAAACGAGAGCGGTGCTACACCAGGGAGGCCTGTGGCGTGGCCCACACCCTCTGACTTTCCTTCTGCGAGCCCGTAGCACTAGCCTATGGTTTCCTTACGAAAGCCAAGGTGCTGCTGGTTGTCCTCAATTTCTGCCGCTACAGTCGGCGAGATCTCTTTCTCTACTGCGTTTCAAACTACACAATGCAAGTGTTTAGAGGAACTGGTTCAAGACAGCCTCGAACCCAGCTTCCTAAGCAGCAGAGCGACGTTAATTCCAGGTTACATGCCTGATTCTTTGGGGTTTCAGAGCAGCTGACATAACCCCACACCCTTTGCTCTCCGCAACAACACTGCCCTCTGCCTCCTGTCATCTCCTGGCATTCCAGGCTGGGACTGCTGGCCCAGCACCCCGAAAACAGGACCACATGCTCCCAGCGTCCAGCAACTTCTCTTCCACCTCGTTCCAAACTATGCCAGCCACTCAGTTTCCCCAACAAGCTGTGTGTAAACCAGAGTGCCTTGCCTTCTCAAAGCCTCTCTGGGGCCATCCTAGGCCACCCCATCTCCACCAACGACCTGGCACGCAGCTTCCCTGCCCTACCTGCTCCAGGCCTCACAACCCCACATTCTTGAAGATTCTACAAGACTGCTGCCTCCTGGTGCTTGCCCTCCTGTAACTAGAGACCGTCCTCTGCCAGCACGCGAACCTTCAGAGGACACAAAGCACAGCCCACCGAACACTGGAGTTCCGAGGCCCTTCCTGGCCTGACCCTGCAGGCTCACAGGGTTGTGGCTCTGGTGCCCTCGCCCCACACCTGTCCTCAGTGCCCTGGTCTTCTTCAGAAGTGCAGCGACACACAGGTGTGCAGCCTGGAGCACAGCTCAGCCCTTCTGTTGCTTCTGCTTTGACCAGTGGCAGCTAGACCATCCTCTGTGCATCAAGGCACAAGTGCTCCAAAGACTGAGTGTCTACCCAGGGTCCCATCTGGGCCCCCCACTGTGACCCACCTTGAAGGCTGGTCCTGGCGTCCTGTCCACATAGGGGGTTTCAGATCCCTCAACTCTCAAGGGAGTATTTTCAACCTCCCCCCAGGTCATCAGCGGCGACTCGTTCACACCTGCAGATGGAGAGCTCGGTTACCTCAACCCAGGGGACACAGATGGAGGCACTGCCAGGCCCTCCCTCCTGTGACAGCCAGCTCCCACCATGCATGTCCCAGCTAACCAACATGAAGGCTGGCAGTTGGCCCACTCTCCTTCCCCGGAACTCTGGAACCCCTGCTCCTCTACCCCCTGAGAGGACAACACCAAGACCACTTTAGGCCCAGAATGGGCCCAGGCCCTGATAGCTATAGGGCTTAGCCTGGGAAGGGGGGCTCCCCAGAGAAGATGGGCTGGGTCAGCTAGGCTCCCATCCTAGCACATGGCCACCAGGGCCTACTGCAGGTTGCTATGGCACCCCACCCCAAAGGAGGGGACATTTGAAGGTTTTCAGAGCACCCAAATCTCCCAGGACCCTGGGCAAACCTGTAGTGCCTCCATATACCCTGGCCTGTATCATAGGAACCAGCAGCCCAGAACACAGAGAGGCCAGTGTTTGGGGTGGAGGGTGGGAAAGGACACCACGTGCATCACTGCACCGTGAGACTGTCCCCCAAGATTCATAAACCTCCTGTGTGAACACATGCAGGGCTGGGGCCCGGAGCCTCTTCCCTATGCCCCTATGCCCAGCCTCCCCCTGTGCCCTTTGGCATGCTCACCACAGCCTATCTGTCGAGCAGAGCTCCAACACCCCTGGTTCCCAGCAACACCAGTCTGTCCTGCCAAGCTTAGGGCAAGGCAGGAAGACCGCTAGGCTCAATGGACTGGGTCCCGTGTATCTCAGGTCAGTTCACCTGAGCGTTCAGCCCACCCACAGCTCCGTGCAGCCCTGTCATTGCACAGGTGGGTCACAGGGTCTCTGAGTTACACAAAGCAGTGGCAGACTTGGATAAGAGTCAACAGGGCCCAGAGCCACCTGAGCAGCCCACCTCCCCACAGGCAGTCCTATCAGGACTATCAGGGAGCCAGCCTGCCAGCGGGTTCACTTCTTACCAGGAGCAGGAGAGGGGGTTGCAACAAATCCGAATCCGCCCACTCGTGGGGAATCCTGGGGGATCAGCTCCTTGCCATCAGGGCCTACCTTGCCCTGTTTGTGCTGGAACAAACAAGAGAGACTAGTGTCAGGGAGGCCCAAGCCTGCCCTTCCCAGCTAGCTGATGGACAAATGCACAGGAACATGCTGGCAATGCTTCCCCTCCTTGGGGCAGTCCTAGAGCTCAGGGGTTGGCACACACCCCCTTTGGAGAAAGAGAGGAAGAACTCCAGCCCCTGCAAAGACTTTGAGGAACTGTCACAGTAGGCATCAGAGCAAGGGAAGCTCCCCCTCCTTCCATTCAGGGCAGAGTCGGGCCAGGGTCCTTGGCCTCAGTACACACGCACACAATTTGCTTTCAGCAGCTACTGACTCAGGCCTTGACAGGAAGCCACACTAATTACTGGCTTATATGCTCTGACCTTTCCCACAGGGCATGTGCTGAAGCCTCCAGAATAGTCTCCCCACCTCCTGACTCTCCCACTTCAACCCCATGACCACTGGAGTCGCCAGTGCACCATGACTCCCCGGCTCAGACATCTCTGCTGTCCACCCCACTGAGCCTCACCCTACCCCAGCCTACTCACACCATCTATCCCTGCCCTACCCACGCACAGGTGTGGGTCTGGCCGGCCTGGGCTGGCTCCCAGCGGCCTCTCTTCTCTCATGTCCTCGTCCCCCAGGAAGCTGGCACTGAATTGACCTACAGAATGTCTCTGGCCAAGAGAGTGCCCCAGTGGAAGCCCACAGAGGACAGGAAAAGACTCAGGACCCTGTCACACAGGAGCCCCAAATAGTCACATGCTGCTAGGCTCTGCCCAAACCCAAGAACGGTACCAATTTAAGGCTGCCCACAGCCAGCCCCAGCCGCTCACCTGGGCGTTGAGGGCGGCAGCCTGCTGCAGCTGGGACCTGCTCAGGGCCTGGCTGAAGGGATCCCTGAGGAAGCGAGTGTTCTTATGCACCACCTGCCTCGGCTTCTTAAACAACTGTTCTTCATCAGGCACACCTGGCATATCGAGGAGAGGTGGCAGGGTGTCAGAGGGTGGGGGGGGTGCCCCATCACTGCCCCACACTCAAGGCTTGAGAGATACCCCGGTGAAGAGAAGCATGAAGCCAAGCAAAGCGTGGGGCAGCCGCACTCCCTCACTGACAACACACGGACCCTTCTGCCCAGAGGTAGAGCAGGACCCCTCCGAGGCCCAGGGAGCACAGACACACACACCCTGAAGGCCGGATACAAACATGCAGCCCCACTCCATGCCGCCTGCCAGCCCCGCCTGCTCACCCTCAGGGTAGTACATGAGGGAGTTTTTCGCCTTGTACTTCCAGGTCTCCACACCGGCCTGGCTGCTCTCAATGGCTTGGTGCTCTGCCGACGGAAGTGCAAGGTTATCTTTCTGCCTCTGCATCACAGGGGGAAAGTGAGGGTCAGAGAGGCCCCCAGGCACTGTGCCCTGGGCCCCAGGACTCCCTCCACCCTGACAGAGGATGCCCATACCCCTGCACCCAAGGACACCTTCTCAAACTCCTCCTCGGCCTGGTACAGCCACGTGTGCCGTGCCCGGCTCTTCTCCTTGGCTACCTCCATGATCTCCTGGAAGGAGGCATTGTCCTCACTTGTGTACCGGCTCAGGAAGACATCCAGGCTGGGCAGGGGCTCCTTCTCCTCCTCCTCTCCGGCCTCTCCTGCTCAGGGGCAGAGGAGGGGTGACGCAACCACAAGCAGCAATGAACACTTTGTAGTCACTCAGTCCCAAGAACCGTGCTACCCCATAAGCAGGGTTGGAACCCTCACCATAGTTGTGCATCTGTGGGTGACAGCCCGTGCTACCCGACAACTCCCCACCTGGGGGCAGAATTACCCCCCACCAACTGCCCAGGGAGCACTCAGGGGCTCTCCTTGCCTGCCGGATGTCAAGTGAAATATATGTCTCGCTCAGGCAGGAAGAGGGACATCTAGGGGTCAGAGACAGGTGGCCATGGTAATCCTTGCCCTGCCACAAGTGGACCGGTCCCATAGGACCTGCCTCCAATGCCCCAAGCTCTTCCACCATCCCTGGGCTTTCGTTCCCCGCCTGTTCCTCTCCTCCTGGCACCTGTGCTACGGGTGGATGGCTGTCCCCTAAGCCTCCCGACCTGCTAGCAGGCCCAGAGGGCAGGGACCCCAAAGGATCCAGCGCTCCAGATGGAGCCACACAGGCACTGGGCCACAACCCCACCCGTCGCACCCAGCACCACAGAAAGGGGGACCCCCACTGAGGTGGTGCCACTGCACTGTGCACGGTGGGACACACTCCAGCTGGGCCATCACGGGGAGAGCCTTGTCTTCCTTTCCACTGGCAGTCTTGACCTCCTACTACCTCCTAGACTGCAAAAAGCACAGTGGCTAAAAGCTCAAGACCCAGAGTCAGAAAGATAAGGGCTCAAACCCCGTTCTGATGGTACCTACCACTGAGGTTACTGAAGTGATTCCTAGATTTACCAACAAGCACATTTTTAAAAAACGGAAAAAAAAAAAAAAAAAAAGAATCTGAGGGTTGGCTGGGTGACTCAGTCAGTTAAACATCTGACTCTCGATTTTGGCGCAGGTCGTGGTCTCAAGGTCATAAGATCGAGCCCTACAGTGGGCTCTGCGCTCCACACAGAGTTGGCTTGAGATTCTCTCGCTCCCTCCTCCCCTCCTCCCCACTCACACCTGCGCTTACTTGTTCAAAATAAGAGTAAAAATTTGATAAATAAATAACAAGAATCTGTAAGTTGCCTGTGATTCATCTGCCACATCGCAGTGGAGCTGCGATCAAGCTCCACTGGGTCAAGCTTCAAGGAAACAACATGATGGACTACAGCATTGCCACAACAAGCTGGATTCTGAAGCAGAAAACACCTCATCTGTGTGAGCACACAGGGCATCTGCGTGAGCATGCAATAGACTAGAACCCAGTAGAGAACAGCAAGCATCTTGTCTGTCTGGGCACTGATGTTCTACTGACAAGATCGACCACTGATCATGAGAAAGTCCCATAGCATGTAGCACACTTATGTCCAACAGGGCTCCAAATGCTCTTCCCTAGGAAAAGTCCTTCATAAAGCTGGCTCGTGTCATGACACCCCAATATACGTGAAAGACAATATACATGAAAGACAATATACATGAAAGACAACTTGTTTGTGCTACTCCCACAACATGTCACGTGCTGTCCTAGGTGTGGAATATATACACAGAGGCAAGACAAAGAAGATCTCATGGTGAGGAGGCCATGTCCTACAGGGAGAAAACAAAGAAAGGCAAGAAGGCATGCTGGTGGGGGAGGGAGGGGTCATAAAAGGGTTTCCTGAATGGTAACATCTGAGCAAGAGGCCTGAGGGGAGAGAAGGTGTGAGGCATGCAGCTATCCAGGGTAAGTGACTAACTCAGAAGAAACAAAGGCAGAGGTCTGGAGGCCCTTAAGATGACAGCGGGAGAGGGGCCCTTCAAGGCATATGAAGCCTACTGGGCAGGGGCTGGCACACAGTGAGCAGGCTGGTGAGAGAGGTGGCAAGATTTCCATTCCATGAGAAGGGCCGGAGGCTCAGAGAACTGCCCCATGCCTGCCTCTCAGACCAGTGCTCTTTGACCCCATGGGCTGCCATTCAGGCCAACAAAGCTCTCTGGGACAAGATGTGATTTGCCTTTGGGCTAGAGACCCTCAGGGCCACAAAGGATGAGACTCACAGGTAAACCCAACCAGTCACTCACTCACCATCACCCTCCTCCAGGCCTCGGCCCCGGCCCCGGGCCTTGTTGCCCACCACTCCAGTGCCTGTGTGCACATCAGGGGTTTCAAATGTGGCTGGAGTCACATCTAGAAGGAGGAAGGGGGTGGGGATTAGAGCCAGCCTAAGGCATCAGTTCAGCAGGAGTTCCCCTCTCAGCCAACCACTGTCACCCTTACACGGTGGTGGGGGCTCTCGGGACATCTTGCCCAGGGCAGAGCCAAACTTGATGGCAATCTGACGCATCCGTTCCAGGTCTCCATTCTCCTCAGCCTCCAGGTACTCCTTCTGAGCCTGCAGCTTCTCCACATCAGGAAAGAAGTCCCTCTGGATGACTGTCTGGAGCCCCTGTCAGATGTCAATAAATGTCAGAGTTCACATCTGCCTCTCTTCTGCCTCTCAGTCTACCAATGTACATGCTACGGTCCTTGCCGGGCCCCCAACCTCTGTCCAACCCAGGGATCCCCTGAGCTTAGCTGCACTTTCTAATGAGGATGAGCAACCCCTGTAGTTTTGATGCAACATCTAACTAAGCGTTCATCTGGTTTCCACGAAACTTTTCTCTCTCCCACAATTGGTCACTCTCATCTCTTCTGCTGGCTCCATCTCCATACCAGCTGGACCAAGGTGGGTGTTGCCCCTTCATTCCATCCAAGGCCTCCTATTTCCAATGCGAACCCTTTACCTGGATGATTTCAGCCTGTCACCCCCACCAGCAGCACTGGCTGAGATTCCCAAATCTACCTCCAGCCAGACCTTGCTCCTAAGCTGCACATTTGTGCACCCAGCTATCCACTAATGCCATCTACCTCTCTATCCCAGAGGCCTGCCAAACTTAACCAAGTCCGAAACCAAACTGATTTCCTCCAATCTCCCTGCCAGCTCCTCTTCCTGCATGTCTGCTACAGTATTAAGACCAACTTCAAGGATCCTCCGACGCCCACTAATTCAATGGTGCTGACGCAACAACAGACTGTTTCCAAGTTCTCTGCATTTGCTGTTACGACTCTCCAGAAAGTCCTCTCTGCCACCATCCTCCCACATGCCCATTCACGCTTTAATAAAATACCTTGTTTCCCTGAAACCCCCCTCCTCGACGAACAAAGCCGTCCTCTCTTGCCCCTAACAACACTGATGCTGCCTCCACCATCAAAGACACCTCTCTGTGCACTGTATTTGTTTGGCTCTCCGACTGTCCACACCCCAAGAGCACGGACTCGGGTTGCTCCACCTCCGCAAGAGTACGAGTGCCACGACCCAAGAGGAAGGACCCAAGAAGAGCGCGAGGCGGGGGAGAGACCCAGAATTCGCTACCGTCGCATCTAGACCTTACCTCGATGTACTCTTCTTCATCCAGGACCCGCTGCTTGCTTGTCGCAGCCCGTACCTCTCCTGCCGCGCGCTTCCTACCGGGCCCGGACGCGGCTGGGAGCAAGAGAGCCTGGGTTGATGCGCCCGGCGTCTCCATCGCTATCCCAGGATCGCTCGGGCGGCGCAGGTACGTAATAGCGTCGGGAGACAGTAGGGGCGGGACTGTGCCAAATGCGCAGGCGCTTGCAAAGTTCACCAATGGGAGAGCCTCGCGTTTGGAGTCCAGCCCGCGTTCCGTAGTGGCGTCACTACCGTCCCTGGCCCTTATGGGATTTGTAGTCTTCGTCACTCCCCTCTGTGGTCCTGCGAATCTGGACTACAGGCACCAGGGGGCGCTGTGGTAGGCGAAACTAAGGGGCGTGTCGTTCACGCTAACGTGAAAAATTTAAGCACTGCGAAATTTAAAGGCCTTGGGATTCCAGTTTCTCGCGAATCATTGCGTGTGCTTCGTGTTATTAACAAAAACACATTTTAGCTATATACGCGGTTTCAATATTTTTATTCAAACTTTTATGCAAGGAAAAAACCCTAAGACAATTTCTTTTTGATAGTTACCTAATAAAAGAAAAAAAAGATATGAGGTCTAATTTAGAAATGCCTGGTTAAAAATTATTCGGTCCCTTTCGACGACTGTGAGGCCGGAAAGATTCCGGCCAGGCCGAGGACGTCGGATCTCCCTGTCCTCCTGCCCTTCGACCTTTCCCCGAAGCCCCTCAATAAAATGGTTTAAAAAAAAAATTATTCGGTCTCTGGACGCCACATTGGGTTTCCTAGAAGAGGGGTCTCATTGAAATGGACCAGAAAATTGCCCAACCATTTTTCGGGCATGATCATTTCTTCCCTAAAAGAGGCTGTGAATTATGTCAAACAAGTTCTGCCCCAGAACAACTTAGTACAATAGGCCAGTCATTCTTTCATTCAGTGGGGAACTCCACAATGATGGTTCTTCCCCCCCCCCCCACAATGATGGTTCTTGCCTGTAGAGCTAACAGCTCCATGTCCTGTCGAATGGGGAAGACAGGCACTAGTCAGATCATCCCACAAACATAAAACTGCAGTGAACGGGTACAAAGAAAGAGTTTGTACTAGGGGGCTGTCAGGGGAAGTTTCCCCGGGGTCAGGAAGTGGTTGCAGATCCAGAGAATGGACACTGATCAGGTGGAGGGAAAGAGCAGGTGCACAGGCCTTGCAGCAGGAGGGAGAAGACCTTTGGATATACAGAGTTCAAGGAGTGGTGAGGTGGGAGATGACACCAGAGGGGCAGGGGCCTCATGGGTCACGGCCAGGAGTTTTGTCTTTGAGAACAATGAGAAGCCCTTAGAGAGGCAGGTTCACACTTGTACCCTGCCTTTTCTGGGGAGGGAATTGCAGAGGAACCGAAGTGGCTGCATGTGGACAAGACTGGAGGCAGCTTAGTGGTCAAGGTGAGGGAGGGCAGCCTTTTCCTCAGGTTGCTACAGTTGAACCTGGGGAGAAGATAGCTTCTAGGATGGTTTTTGAAGGTAAATTTGATTTGTTATATGTTAACTAACTTGAATTTAAATAAAACAAAAAAATTGATTTACTGTTGGCCTGGGTACAGTGGGTGGGGGATAGGAGGAGGGAGGTTTGCACGGTGGTAGAGTTTGCAACCGACAAGGTGATTTTGAGATGCTGTGTGCTTCCAGGAGGAGTAGTCAAAGGGACAAGTTGGACGTAATATCTAGTTCAGGGAAGAGGTCTGGGCTGGAGATGTAAATGTGGTAGAGAGCTAGGCATTGGAGCCCGAAGGTGGAAATGATAAAGGGGAGAATGGACAAGAGAGGGGCACGCCTGGGCCCCAGCCTGCAGGACAGCTTTGCCAATGGGCAGCTTATAGGGGTGAGCCTGCCAAGAAGCAGCTAGAGAGAAAGGAGGACGGTATGCCCACTGGTCCCTTGAAGGTGAGGCTCTGACTGTGGCTGCCTACAAGGACAAAGAGCCAGCCTGTGGCTAGGGTCCCAGAGCCCAGCAAGATGAGGGCATCCCGGGCTGCAGAGATGCTCCGCACGCAGACTGTGCAGTAACCCAGGGCAAAGAGCTTTATGACCCCTAGAAGTGTGCATCCTGAGGGGTGGAGGGGGGTGCCGCTCTCCTGGAGGCCCCCAGCATTGTGAGAGCAGCCCTGGCTGGAGACAAGACGCCTGCTCTGTGTTATCTGAGCTAGCCAGCCTTGGAGAGTCCTGGCGGGCGGTAGACCTGCCTTCTGCACCTTTGATGAATGGACTGTGTCTCCTTTCAGATGCCCCCGGGGCCCATCTCCTCCAGGACTCACAAGGAGACAGAACATGATCACCAAGCCAGATGATGGTGTTCGATGCCTTGAGCCCACCGTACAGCCCTATTGGAGGAATCAAAGCCTTATTTTCTCACCATCTTTCACCCTGGGGCCAGGATGATGGAGAGGAAAACAGATATCGTCCCAGGCACTGGCAGGGGGGCGTGGTGCATCGCCCCCATCAAACTTCCTCTTGACCCTACAAGATGGCAGAGAGCGAGGCAGACAGGCAACATGGAAATCCCCACCCATGAGCAGTACCTCGAAGCCAGTGCAGACTTCCCAGGGTGCCAGGCCATGATCCGTGGGGTAGTCTGCTGTGGCTGGGGAACACAGAGGACTCACTAGGCTGTGCTCTTCAAGGCGAGATGGCCCTACTCCTTGGGTGAGGGGGATGGGGCCATGGAAGGCTTCGAAATCTGGTCAGCTTTTGTGCTCTTTGCAGTTGCTTGTTTATTTCCCAGGACCCAGACAAGGCTCACAGAATTAAGGGGCGGGGCAGGGGCTTCTGGAAGTGACCTCACCCGGCATTTTTACCCTACAGCTCTGGACGCCAAGGCCCTGTGCCAGGCGCACAAGCTGGCAAGTCCAGGATGCACAGAAACCTCCCATGGCCCAGGCAGCGAAAGGAGAGGAGGGAGGCCAGCATACCTCAGGTAGGGAGAGGAAGATTCTGGCCCCTCCTCCCCCGGACAAGGGATGGTTCCTGTCCTGGAGTTGGTGGGGACTTGAGGAAGCAGACCTGCTCTGTGCCCTCCTCCCAGCCCCACCGCCCCCCAGGGAATCTTCCCGACCCTAGTCACTGCAGAGGAGAGCACATGGAGATGCTCAGTGTTCCCTCCTTTCCCCGGGGCAGGTGACAAGGCAGATGGGGAGCGGGGGGACACACACTTCAGCAGCCCGCTCCTGCCTTGAGCACTAGCTCCAGAAGCCGGAAGTCCTGCAGACAGATGGGAAGAGGCTGGTGTCCTCTCTCAGCTCGATCTCGGGTAGATCTGTCCTCTCTCCTAGTCGGCCCCCCGAAGACGCGGACAAGACCAGGAATGGCTACCAGGGCCATCAGGAGCTGTCTTTTGGGGCCTTCTTGGCTCCGGGGAGGAGCCTCGAGGTCGCTGACGTGCGCTTCTGGTGTCGCCACTTGGCCCGGCGGTTCTTGAACCAGACCTAAGGAGCAGGAGGGGCCGCTCAGGCCCAGCCCCAGGACCCGCGTCCCCCGGGACCCCCATAGGTGGAGCAGGCGGGAGCTTCCCAGTGGGACTGCGGGGCAGGTACCTGGCAGCGGCACCCACCATCTCTGAACCGCTGCGGAGGGGGGCTGTGGCTCCGGCCGCGGGACGAGAAACACTTTTCCCACCCGGCCCAGCCATCTCTCTTCACCCCTTCCAACCCCCAGTCTGCGCCCCGCGGTGCTCCAGATGCCCCTTCTGCAGCTTCGTGCTCTCTCCGAGTTTCCTAAAGTCTGGCGCATGAATGCGCGCCTCATGTATCAGGGAAAACTTTAAAAAGTGTAAACCAAAGGAAAACTAGCCTCCCCTCCCGTTCTAGTGGCACTTTCCCGCACGTGCCTGTTCCCGCCCGCCCCCCGGAACCGGCCCTGCGCCCCACATTGGTCCCTGGACCTCTGGGGACATTGCGCCAGGGCGATCTTTTCAAAAAAGAAGGAGGAAGGAAGCCAGCCCGCTCGGCCTGGTGTAGCCGTGCGGCGGACGGGCACCCACCTCCACGCGCTCCTCGCGCAGGCGGATGCGGCCGGCCAGGCGCTCGCGCGTGCCCACGTCGGGGTACTGGTTCTGCACGAAGAGCGCCTCCAGCGCCTGCAGCTGCTCCTCGCTGAAGATGGTGCGGTGGCGCCGCGTGCGCCGCTGCGGCCCGGGGCCGCCCGCGCCGGGCAGCGCCCCCGAACCTCCAGTGGGCGCGGCCAAGGGCAAGGGCGCGGCGGGGCCCAGTCTCAGCGGCCACGGCAGCCGCGCGCCTGCGGGGCGAGAGCGCGGTGAGGCGCGGGGCGGGGGCAGAGCTCCGCCCCGACCGCGCCGCGCCCCGGAGGACCACCCCCCAGCCAGCGCCCGCGTCCCGCTCCCACTCACCCAGCCCGGCGGCCGGCTCCGGGGGCCCTCGGGGCGCCGCGCGGGGCCCGCAGCAGCAGCAGCAGGCGCAGGGAGCGGCCTCGGGCGCCCCGGGCTCCCCGGGCTCCGCGGGGCTCTGGCGGCCGGCGGTCGGCGGCGCTCGGGCGGCCCGTGCCGGGGGTCTCCGCTCGGGCAGGCTGGAGAGGATGTGCTCAATGGAGAAGGGGCAGGGCCGTCTGGGGCCCTTGCGGCTCGCTGCGCCCCCCGCCGCCGCCATGCCCGCCCGGGCCCGGCCGCCGCCGCCGCGGGAATATATACGTCGGGGGGGAGCGCGCTGTAATCCCCGGGCCGAGCGCGGAGTCCACGCGGGCTAATCCCGCGCGCTAATCCCCAACTGCGGCGGCGGGAAATCCTGCTCCGCATCGGCGCGCGGGGGCCAGCCGGGCCGGGGGGAAGGGGCCCCCCCCGTAGGAAGCCCTCCGCCCCGCGTTGGTCTTCCTGTCTCTTAAGGGCTGGCAGGACTCGCGGGCAGGAAGATGCTACTGGGAAGGCATGGAGGGCCGCCTCACCCGGCTTTTGGGGCAGTGACCGGGGGCCACCCCGACTTTTCAGCCCCTTGGTTGCCCTGGCGCCTCCCGGCCTAGCCCCTGGGTACCTTCTCCGGCAGCCACCGCAACCAGGCCTGGCTCCTCGTCCCCGTGGGGCCCCACACAGGTGGATGGGCAAGTCTAGAGAAAGCCACCCAAACTGACAATCTCTTGGCCCCCAAACTGCTGGGCTTCAACCTCAAATGGGACCCAACTCCATTGGCACCCCAACGACTGCACCGTTCTTTGGCCGCAAATCTCCCACCCATTTCAGAGCCGGGGGTTCTCAGCCTCCTGGAGGAAAATCGCAGAAGCAGGACGCTGCCTTTGCTCATCACCAAACCTGAAACCCCATGGATTGCCTTGTGCCCCCAAGTCTCTACCTTCTCTACTGGATCTACAGGGGAGCCTTCCAGACCCCATCCAAGGCCCCACCCAAGTGCTCTGGAGCGACCCCTCTTCCTGCTTCCTATATGTCCCAGAATCCCCTCAAAACAAAACACAACCCACCACGAACAAAAACCATGAAACACCTCTCCTCTACCCTCACCATAGCCAGGCTTCTCAGGAGCTGACTTGTGTGGGTTCTCCACTCTGTTCAGGCCTGTCCGGCTGGCTACACTCTTCCCACACAGGCCACGCTGCCCAATATTGCGATGACGGTACTTCGCCAAATTCAATGAAGACTCAAGCTAGTAGCACTGAAGGGCCAGTCAGCCATTTTCAGCTCAAGACCCTCTTATCTGGACCTCTGAAAATGATGTCATTGGCTCACAGGAAAGAGCAGGAGACTGTCTGGCTTATATCCCAGACAGTATTTTTTTAAAAATATATTTTTTAATATATATTTTAAATATATATATATATTCATATATATATGTATTAAAGATTTTATTTATTTGACAGAGAGATCACAAGTAGGCAGATAGGCAGGCAGAGAGAGACGGGGAAGTGGGCTCCCCGCCAAGCAGAGAGCCCGATGCAGGGCTTGATCCCAGGACCCTGAGACCATGACCCGAGCAGAAGGCAGAGACCTAACCCACTAGTGCCCCCCTAGTTGTCAATTTCTGGCCACGGGACCTTCCATATGTTCCCTCAGCCTCCTGTGGCTTGGTTTCCCAATCTATAACATAATAATAGCAACCTAACTCAAGAGGACACAACCAGTTACTGTGTGTGAGACATTAGAACTGGCCTGGGCACGTGGGAGCTCCATGAATGGTAGGTATCATCGTAAGGCAGCATACTCACTCCCCCCTCCTTGTCCTCCCACCTCACACACCCTTGTTCAGACTCCTTTGCTGGTATCTCCACTCTGGTATCAGTGAGGAGACTTTGGACTTCGGGTGACGGAACTTCCCAACTCAACCCCTGTTGCAAGAGTCCTAATAAAGGTGCCCCGAACTTAATCTGAATGCTTGCTTAGTGAAGGAACCATTACTTCTATGAGTGGCTCGGGCACTCTCAGCCTGCCTCATGGTTGCAAGATGGCTGCCACAGCTCTGTATCTCCCATCTCTTCCCGTATGTCCCCTTGGGTGACTGTGGAAACCTCTTCCAGCACAGAACTTCATAGAACCGTGTGCTCACCATTAGATCAAAGAGGCATATGGGGACTGACTACCCATCAAAGTGGGAGTTCTGCCAGGATGGGGGCAAAAGAGTTAGTGGTCAGGAAGATTGTGCCCTCCTCCCCCCAGCCCTGGCAGTTTCTTCATCCCTTTCCATTCCCACCCTGAGTGACCTCCTGCAGCTTGAAGGTTCAGACACCTTCTCTGTGACAATGACTCACAAGCTGATACCACTGGTCTGGCATCTCCCTCTCTTCCAGGCTAGTATCGCCCAAGTACCTACTCCACATCTCCATTTGGATCACCTAGGAACATCTCCCAGCCACCATGCCCAGGATGGACTTAAGATCCCCTCAAAATCTGTTCCTTGCCAGGTATTCCCCACCTTGATAAATGGGTCACCTACCTGCCTATCTGCCTGGGTCAATGCACCATCTCTTTACCTGCCCCCCTCTGCATGTGCCCATTTCTTCACCAGCCCCCCATGGTAAGAGGCCCACTCTGGTGCTTTCCAAACATGTCAGGGAATTCCTTGACCCCTCGCCCTCTGAGAGGTGGCATCCAATTCCCTTCCCCTTGAACATGGCCTGTCCTGATGACTTGCTTCTCACCTCCAGAATGGAGCAGAAGTGACCCTGATTTTTTAAAAATTTATTTATTGAGAGAGAGCATGAGCAGGGGATGGGAAGGGCAGAGGGAGAGGGAGAGAGAGAATTTCAAGCAGACTCCCTACAGAGCACAGATAGGGAGGCGGGGGCTCCATCTCACAACGCTGAGCTCATGACCTGAGCCAAAATTGAGAGTTGGACACCCAACCAACTGAGCCACCTGGGCGTCCCAGGTGACACTGATGCTTGAGGCCAGCTCAGACAGCTTAGAGATACAGCTCCTCTCTCTTTCATCTTGTGATGCTTGCTCTTTGAGCCAACCAGCACACTGCGAGGACCCACCAGCACCCACAGGAAGAGGCATGTGCAGAGGTGTCCCAGCCCGCAGCTCCAGCTGAAGGGCCAGCCAACAGGCAGCAGGGTGAGCAAGGATGCCTTCGGGTGGCTTCTGTCCCAGCTGTCATCAGCTGCAACCACAGGAGAGACCAGACTGGCACCTGTGAGAGGTAACAATAGAGGTGATTGTGTAGGTGATCATAGCACTAAGTTTGAGGGGGGTTGGTTATGTAGCTCTAGATAATAGATGGGTTTGGGTACCGGAATGGGATGTAGCCAGTATGAGCCCTAAGTCAAGTGGCTTTGGCTTTGGGACCCGACAGCGAGTTGGAGCTGGAAGGACTCTACTGAGACTGCCAGTGGGGTCTTAGAGGGAAGTGAGAAAAGTCTTCCTTGAAGATGGAGACTGGAGAGCCTTGGTGCAGAGTAGCGAGAAACATGGCAACACTGTCACCTGTAGCAGGTCGGGAGATAGGATGCCTCCCCTGTGAGGAAGATGGTCCAGCTGAGGAGATGCCCTGCGGGGCCACAGAAGCAGCTGCCTGCCTGCCTTCAGCTACCGACAGTGAAGAGAGGAGAGAGACCGCTCTGAAAGAAGGAGACGTTCATGCCTAGAAGCCAGCTGACAAGTTAACTATAACACCTGCTGCATGGATGCGTGGTTCAGTTCCTGGGAGCCGCCCTAGAGAAATGAAAACTACTGTTCTCACAAAATGCTGCCCCTGCATGTTTAGAGACGTTCTCCTAATCATCACCAAAGCTTGGAAGCAACCCGGATGGCCATCAGCTGTTCAGCAGACCAACACGCCATGGTCCACCCCCCAAGGGAGAGCCCAGGGCGCCAAAGACACATGCAGCAGCTCAGAGCCATCTCAGAAGATTGGACTGAGTGACAGAAGTCGGTCTCAGAAGACTCCGTACTGTGTTGAGGCCATGTATGTGACACTTTGAAAATGGAAACCGATCTGGGGAACAGATCACTGGTTGGGGTGGGGGAGGAGAAGGAGGGAGTTTTGGGGGGAGTCCCTGAGGGAAGGGGAGAGGAGGAAGAAATGCTAAGGGGGAGGCTGTTTCTTCTCCAGCCCAAGGGGGGTCGGGGCCACCTTCAGTGAGGTCAGGGGGCATAGCCTCTCTCGTGGAGGTAGCTCCCATCCAGCCAGGCTCCAGAGAAAGGGTCAGTGGCAAATCACCAGCTCACCCCAGGGATGCTTACCCCACCCCTGCCACACTCAGCCCCACATTAAGTCCATTGCTTTCAGATCCCCCAGATTCTGGTTGGGCACAATTTCTGGATGTACATGGGAAAGGAAAGCTAGTGGGATGGACTGTGGCCCCTGTTGCTTAAGTTGGTCCCGGGCCTGTAACTGGGCACCGTCTGCTCCTTCTTCCCCCACCTTTTCTAAATCCCCCACTCCTAGCACTTCTGAAGGTCTGGGTGCTTTGCCTGATGGGTTGGACCCTGATGGGTTGGCCCAGATGCTCCTCCCTGGGGACATGAGCCCCTGGGTCCCATCCCCTCCTCAAGCTGTGCTGGCTGTCATGGCCCATTCACAGTGACATCTGGGCAAGGGAGCACCACAGGACATCCAGTGGGTGGGAATATCAAACATCCTTGTTCCCGGGATCTGGATCCAGTACCCCTGACTGTAGGGGTACCCCTTTGCTTGGTGGCATAAAGAGCTCAGAGTGACCGGGCAGATGTCCTGGTTTATATCTTGTGCCATTCTTACTGTGCTCCTGGTGAAATTACCCCCCTCTGAGACCCAGAACCTAAAGTTGCAAGAATGAGGACACAAATTCCCTAGTTGGGTCTCTGGGAGTACTGGGGAGCAGGGTGTCCCACCAGGACCCCTGGGTCCCTCATGTCACACTGGATCTCTAGGTGTATCCTCTCCTGACTTCCTTGTCTCTAAACTTCTACTCTTGCTGTGTCCGGAGGCCCCCTAAAGCAACCAGCTCAACTGTTTGCTATGGCAGACAGGGGTGCAAGTCTTCTTTTCCCTGGGCACTCTTCCCTCCATATAACATGGGTGACACAGCGCTCTGTGGGAACTTCACCCTTTAGAGGGCTTTCCCTTCACCGCTGGCGTTCAGGGCCACCCACAGTGCAGTGAGCGAGGCCACCTGCGGGTGGCAGTCGCTTCCTTAGTCAGCCTGCCTAGGTCTAGATCGGCTT